AATTAAAACTACAAGTAAGCTTTTAAGTTTAATTAATCTCATTTGATAATCTACATAATTACCTGCTTTAAAACCAGTGTTAAATGCTAAACAGTTTATTAGTTCCGGCAGTATATCTACAAGGTAACTTTAACACCTTTTGTTTTTATCGACCAAAATAAAACCGTTTTGAGCCTAAAATAAACCATAAATGTTTTTATAGTGCTACTTGGAATATAGTTAGTGTCGCGATACAGTTAGCCCAGCGTCCAACCGGTTTTATATTCAGCTGTACTACTTATCTGTATAGCATTTCACACTTCTCTAACAGCTCTGTTTTTGTTTTTTCGCTGTTTCAATTAGGGATCTACGACTTAAATCAATACTAAAGAACACAAAGCTACCAGTAGAATGGGCATTCGCGAAAAAGCCTTTGATCTTCTGACCTCTAAAGATACCAAAATTTTTTCAAGAACTCGGATCCTTCTTTTTAGGTCCTTCATTTGAAGAGGCCCTGCACTCTTTTATTTATTTATACAGCGTAGTGCTATTGTAATCTGACGCACGTACGGAATAGGTTTTTCAAAAATTGTTTGTAATGACATCTGGTAATTGTATTTATTTATTTATTTATGTCATTATCGTTAAAAAAATATTTAGTAGCGTCCACACCACTGATTGGCGATGATTCATTTGGCTTGCTGTCGTCTTTGTCATTACATAACATCTCTAACCATTACGCCTATTTTTTCAAAACTTGAAATATACTGAAGTTTGAAAATGGATCTAAGGCCACGGAGTTAAGTAAAAAACCAAAAGCTGAAATAAAGAATTGAAAACAACGTGAAAGAAATTAAATGAGACATCTATAAACTACAAAGAATATGATATGAATGCAACTTAAAGGCAATGGAATGCAACCGACCGGCCATCGAATACCTGTGTATTTGGAGTATTTCCAGACCTAAAACTGAACGTGAAAATTTCTTCTTTTTCTAAGATTGTCCAAAAAACCTGGTCAGAATATTTTTCTGAGAAAATGCAAAGTTACTCCATATGGCAGGTAGCATTTCAGCCACCAGAGGTATTATCACAGACACCGCGGCAAAATACGTTTTTTCGACGGAGTGGCTCTTCTACTGGTAGCTTTGTATTCTTTGTTAATACTGACGGTTCTCGTGATCGAAGAGCATAGGTTAATTTAAAGATAGCGTACGCTAAAGTTAGTTTTCCGCCCTAAGGCACAAATAAGTCCGTGGACTGAAAAGTATGATATGAAATTTGTTCATGAAGTACACCGCCCGGTGAAGATATGCCAGAGTTACATACAATATTTTAGCTACAAAACTTAACAAATAAATTGTCCTTAAGCTTGATTTACCGCCCTAGAGCATAGAGGAGTCCGTGGGCTAAAAAGTTACACCCCAGAAAACATAGTAGTGAAAGAAAAAAAAATATTTGTGCAGTTGTAATTCATCACCAAATTACCAATCTCTATTTCATATACACCTGCCTACTCTCATAACTCGTGTCTGACAAATGTCTCAATAGGTACAGCCTCCTAAACCTTAAGGGTTATGAGATAAGAATGGTTGCAATTAGAATTATCTTAGATTATAGAGTACCTACATAACACATTCATCATTGTTTGACGTCAGGTACAAAGCCGACCTGACATGAACAGGAACTCTAAAAAGATACAAAAAATGGGTTTAGAAGTAACTTTGCATCAATTTTTATGACACCAAACGTCCAAAATAACCTATTACCTGAAATTGGAATAGTTCTGCGATCATGATAAATAACAATATGCACATATACGAGAGGAAAGTGCCACCACTAATTTACGTTGCAATTCAATTTTGAGCAAAAAATTCTTAGATTTTACAAAATTTCAAGACCATATGGTTCTTGGCAATAAGCTGTCACGATGGAAATCGTATGTGAACGTCCAAAAACACCATATGGTTTAACATCTTCTTGGAGAACACGATATCAATATTTCTATGCTTCTGTCACAAACGTCTTGGCATTTTCTGAAATCTTAGAATTCTTTGCTCAAGGTCAAATCGCAAGATAAATCAGCTACACCACAAACCTGATAAAAGTGGCTGATGAATCTGTCGTCTCGTGAATGTGCCTGTTATCGTTTGCCATTATAGCGTAAATATTCCAATGGCAGGTAATTGCTGATTTTGGACGTTTTGTGTCATAAATTGGCGTCAAGTAAGTAGGCTCTGTACTTCCCACGCTACGCTATCATCAGTTCGTAAAGGATTACATTTGGCACAATTTAGCCTTCTGAGAAAAAAATTAGCTACGAACCTGTATAAAAAAAATTAAACGACCTTCCTTCTCACACTGAGAGGAATTCCTGCAATCGCACATGATCGTTGCACGTGAAGGCGATAATCGCTTTCACCATGCACAGTGTACACAGCCCGCTTGTCCATCTCGGGATAACGTCACACGTATCGACGCCCGAATGTTGGAGATCTATCTTGGAGTTTTAAGGGTAATAAATCTCTAATGAGTGAAACATGCTTAATATGTATGTAGAATTACTGGGGTTGGAGGCGTATAAATCCTCAATCCTTAAAACCGTCAACCCCCAAATTTTAGCCCATACAAAAGTGTTTCCGAAGTTTGGTCGATTTTTATTTTATTTCTGTTTTTGGTCTTTTTCTCCGCTGCTATTGGTTGGATTTTCAGTGTGCGTGTGTGCTATGTACTTTATAATCTAAGATAATTCAACATCAACCATTTTTATCTCACAAATAGGATTTAGGAGGTTGTACTTATTGAGACATTTGTTCAAGACGGTGAGATATGCAACATATCAGAAATTCAAAAAGTTTAATGAAAGTCCGATTTCTATAAGGAAATTGCGTGGTTCTTTATAGAAGAAGTAGTATCAGACACTATCTTTTTTACCCGTATAATGATCTGGTTATGAACTTATCCTGTATGCGTTCTATGAATGTCGACTTATACAGGGTGTAAACGCTATGATAGTCATTATTTAAGTGGGTGATAGAGGGGGTTAAGAGAAGCAAAAAGTTTCATATAACATGGGGATCAAAACGGCATTTTTTAGGAAAAAGCGACTTTAAAGTAAAATAAAATCTGACAACGCCGCAATGCCAGACGCAAATTACGTCGGAACGCAGTGTAAATAAAGATGGAGACTGTTATTTTTGGCTCTTAGGTATTATTTCATTATCTGATAATGTACTCGTAAAATGCAAACAATTGAAAAAACGGACTTACCACTAACTATCTCAGCGCTTCACCTGTTATGTGAAAGTTTATTGAACGTATTAAAAAAATCCACAATTTTGATACATACATTGTTTTTCTTTTTAAAGCCCACGCTGCACTTTTTTTGTATATAAAGAAGGTGTTCAAAATGTCGTCCTCCACTTTCCACATAAGCTTCATTGCGACGAGCCCACTTTCTTCTTACTCTAGGTCCTCGAAGTTGTCCATTTATTATTTCAGCCGCATTACATTTTTTTTTCGCGAAGTTGTGCTTCAGTTGTTATTGGACCAGCCCCATAAATCATCCCTTTAAGTTCTCCCCAATACCAGAAATCCATCGGATTGAGGTCAGGAGATCTTGCTGGCCATTTTTGAGGATCCGGAGCATTCCGACCGATCCAGCGATTTGAATGATGTTCATTCATATACTGAATGACGCCTCTAAAAATGTATGGTAGTGCCCCGACATGAAAAAACCACAAACTCTGTCTCCGTTGCAATGGCATGTTGTCTGACGTCTGTTCTAAAAGTTCTGGTAGGTTATTGGCTAGAAAGCTAAGGTACCCTTCTTCTGACAACTTTGAGGGTAACTCGAAAGGGCCAATTACCTGATCATCAAGAATGAACGCCCAAATATTTATTTTAAAACGTTGTTGAAAATGACCTTCACGAATGGTATGAGGATTTTCTTCTGACTACGTGTGAGTATTATGGAAATTTAATATCCCGATTCGCGTAAAAGTACATTCGTCCGTCGCTAGAATGTTTTTAAAAAAATTCGGATTTTCAATGTTTTAGTGCAAAAACCACTGACAGAATGTTACTCTACGAGGATAGTCCTCTGGTATGAAAGCCTGCACTTGTTTTACATTGTAGGGATAAAGCAAATTTTCCCGTAGGATTCTATGGACTATGGTATGCGATAGTCCTACGCGGCGGCCTAATTCCCGTGTGCTGATATCTGCATTGATTTTCACGATATTTAAAATTTGTTCCTCCTACAGTAACCTGTCTTTCACGAGTGCGAATATTAGTGGACTGAACACTTCCTGTATCTCGAAGTCTTTGGTACACTTGCACTGCACAAATGTCCTTGTGTCTGGGTGTACCCGTTGGCGAAATCTGTCGCGATAAATTTGAGCTGCAAGATTTGAATTCTGTCGAGCTTCACCAAACTTACAACATGTCGGCGAACTCTTGATTCGAGAACATTGTAAATAAACACGACGACGTATGCGAAGAAAAATAAAACAACACGCCCGATGCTCTGCTCGACAAAACGATAAAGTAATTTATCTATGTAAAACGATAACTAACCACTGTCACCCTTTAGGCGATCGATTGCCGGTTCGATAAGGGTGATAAAAGACCGACGCGCTTTTGTCATGTCTGTTTTAAATATTTAATTTAATGAATCTTACTTACTTACCGACTACAAATTTTGGCTTAACTTAGAAAAACTTAATGCCATTTATTTTTTAATTACCCAATTTAAAAACGTTTTAGATTAGACTATAAAAATTAGTGAGATTGTTCTGATTGAGGTCGATATAAAGCACTTAAAGTTGTAAACTATAAAGCCATTTAGACAAAAATCTATTGACTTTTGGACCATGGGGCATATGGACTTTTTGATTTGTCTTGACCCTCCCTATTACCTATTTCAATAGTGACTACCATAACGTTTACACCCTGTATAATATTGACGATGGAAGCTACCAAGTCATGCTACTTGGCATAGAAATATGAAATATACTCACTGGCCGCTTCCTCCGATAATGATCGACGCAGACCGATCCGTGCATGTAGACGGAGTCCGTATCAGCCCCAGTGGAAGACTCCGACCTCGGCCTCCTCCAGTCGACCTCAGGATCGGCCACCGAGCAGGCGTTGTTGGCCTCGTCACTGCACACGAATACACTGTACGGCGGCAGCAAAAGACCACCCGGGTCAGGTTAATAGTGTGAAATGGGACACAAAGCACAACACCGAACATCTAAATTCAGTTAGGGACAAGGTTTGGGAATCGGATATAGGCCAGTCAAATTGTGTTTCCATTACTGTATACAGGGTGTCCCAACGAAAATGGAAAGCAGTTTTATGAGCACACTGGAAAAGATATCAGAAATCTGTTTCTGTGGCAAGCTTCATATTTTACTAGTGCATATTTTAAAATTACAACTTGCCATAGCAAAAATATCTTTTGTAAGTAGAGCACCCTACACTTTATTGCATATTTGGATAAAGCTTCTAAAAACAAGAAGTTTGATATCATATAGCATATGATTTCGATTGTCAATTATTTAGATATTTGGTCAAACGTCCGAAAAATGACCGAATGACTGTTTTGGGTTAAGATGAGTCTTGTGAAAAATAATGTTTTCATGGAGGATCTGATTTCAAGTCTAAATGTCAAATATACAGGGTGTTTCAGAACTATAGGATCAAACATGTAGGGGTTATTCAGTGTAACAGTAGAAAACATTTGAGTATAGGGACCCATATCTGGCGCTTGTGTGTTGTTATCTTTAAAAACTATAACAGAGATTGTTTTTTGTAGCTGCATTCCATATCGCCTTAGTCGTGCTATCGTATTTGTGAAGTTTGCAAGAATTTAACAAATATTAATTGTTGCTACTGGAAAACTTTACCAATCAAGAATTGGCGGATATGCATTTGGCATACGGAGCAACAAGCTGCAATGCACGAGCAGCAGCACGGTTGTATCAAGAACGTTATCCCGAACGACAGCACCCGGGATACAAAAAGTTTATTGCTATTCATCGGCGGCTCTCCGAGAACCAACATGCATGATACTGGTGTTGCTGCACAACCAATTTTTTACGGACCGATGAAGCCTCTTTCACAAGAGATGGTATTTTTAATAGTAGGAATAGCCACGTTTGGGACAAAGAAAATCCCCATGTAATTTTTCCTAGAAAACATCAGCAACGTTGGTCTGTCAACGTATGGGCAGGCATTGTTGATGATTATTTGATTGGGCCATACCTTCTACCGGAACGGTTAGGACCTATTTACAGGCGTTTCTTGGAGGAAGTTCATCCAGAACTTCTTGAAAATGTTCCATTGAACGTTCGACAGCAAATGTGGTTTCAGCATGATGGATCGTCGGCTCACTTTGCTGTACAAGTACGTGAGTATTTGGCTCAGCGGTTTGGGCACAGTTGGATTGCCAGAGGTGGAGCAGTTTCTTGGCGTCCTAGGTCACCCGATTTAACGTCGCTAGATTTTTTCCTGTGGGGACATGTAAAGTCTTTGGTTTACGAAACTCCAGTAGAAACAGAGCAAGACTTAATTGGACAAATTACAGCAGCATTTGAAATCATTCAAAACTAGTATCAAATTTTTAGTAAAGTCCGCCGAAATCATGTGCGACATTTTGAACAATTGTTGTGATAATATCATGTACAAAAGGCAAAAATTAAATGCATTAAGTCCTATTTAGGCAATTCATCGTCTTTCTAAATTTTAACGCGTCTTAGGACCGTAGTGTCGTTGTGACACTTTTCCGGATATGGGTCCCTATACTCAAATGCTTTCTACTGTTACACTGAATAATCCCTAGAAGTTTGATCCCTTGGTTCTGAAAGACCATGTATTTTTTCTTGGAATTAATAGCAATAACTCGAAAATGTTCGCAGATGGTAGTATATACCTCATATCAAAAACAAAATTATCAAGGAAAGATATTTAATGATGCAGACTGTGTTCAATTTGTAATTTACGAGAAACGGTACCTTTTGCGATTTGTGATACGCGGTATAGACAGAAAGACATTTTAGCATTATTTCGGATCAGCTTAAAATCGACGAGTATAAAATGTTTGTGGGCTAAAATTTGTCCAAATATCTTCAAAAATGGCGGAGCTGCGAGCCGTCAAATTTGGCCATTTTCCAGACCTTATACTAAATATCTTAACAACTGGCAATCGACACCATACGTTATATGATATCAAACTGTATTTTAGAAGTTCTACCAAAATGTACAATAAATTATAGGGTATTCTATTTAAAAAATACATATATACTATTGCACGAAGTTATGGAACACCCTGTATATATTGAAATAATTTTAAAACAAGCAATAGTAGCATGAAAACAGGTTTTTGATATATTATTCGCTTTTCTCACAAAACTACTTTCTATTTTCGTTGGGACATCCTGTACAAAGACACTGTATGGTGCCAGCAAAATACCATCCGGGTCTGGTTAATAGCGTAAAATGAGACACAATGCATAACACCAAATATCTCAATTCAGTCAGGGACTGGACATGAGAGTCTGATATAGAACAGTCAAATTATGCTTTCGTTGTCACACACGAATACACTGTATGTAGCCTGCAATAATAGTGACAAAGGGGACAAAAAGGACAATACGGAACACCAAAATTCAGTTATGGTACAGAATATGAAAATTCGATATAAACAAGTCGAATTATGCTACTTGCATTGCATAGGAATACCCTGTATGGTAGCAGTAAATGAATCACTAGTGTGAAATGGGACAAAAAGCACAAGACCAAATTGTTGCCTGTCACTGCACCCAATACATTGTACGGTGGCAGCAAAATATCCACCTGGATCAGGTGAGTGGGACATAAAGCACATATCCGAACGTCAAACTCAAGAGCAGGGTGTGGGATATAGTCCAGTCAAAGTGCGCTTTCTCATTAAACACGAATGCATTGTACGATTGAAGCACGACACCGACTCAATCAGGTGAATTGTGTCAAATGGGACATAAAGCACAACAATCCCCTGGCTTGCCTCGCCAATAAAACAACATGTTAGAAGATATGTTAGTACATATCTTCTTTACTGTAGTAAAAGCTTCAACCACAAATGTGATCTTCTTCAGTACAATATGATAGTTCGTTTGTTTTTCCTTCTCATTATAATATTCCTATACAGTGAGTTACTACAAAAGTCCTCTAATATGCTGAGATTGCGCAGTCATCATTCCAAATTTAATGTTCGTAAGAAAGGACGGCCAGCGGGTATGAGGCTATTTGTCGTTTTTAATGTACTAGATACGTCACCCCAGTCCATTGTCCCAAAAACTCCAAAAGCCCTTTCAGAGTATTATAGTAACACACTGTATAGAAAGAAATCACTTATATGTGGAGATCACCTTCGAGATTAACTACAGTACTAGAGTAAATAAGATCTGTCAATATATTTCGTTTTATTGACCATACAAGCATGGGGGACTATCGACATGTAAACCACAGGATAAGTTTCAGATGTTACATAAACCACAACATCGAGCAAAGCATACTGCATATCTATTTCAACGAAATGCTGTTTAACCTTATCAAATGCAAATGCCTCAAATGCAATTTATCAAAAGAACATGCAGGTAATTAAACAAGGTAAGCAAAACTAACAGACATTGATTCTAAGTACAATATTTTTCTCTAACTTTGGTTTGGTAATGTCTAGCAAAATAAACGAAAAATTCCCATTCGCGTGTAATTTTTATAATTGTAGTAGCAGACTTGAGTAGTATTCGAATACTCGGTATTTTGAATCCTATTCAGAATAAATTTGGCTGGTATTCGAATAGTACTCGAATACATTTTTGTGTTTGGTATATGATATTCGTCTGAATACTTTTTTGATCAGTATCTGGATTCTGAATACCGTTTCTGAATCCCAATATTCGAATACCCACTTTGTATTCAAATCCCAGTATTCGAACCCTCTATTGAAATCCCGTTTTCGAATACAGTTTGACTATTCTTATGAATATTGCGTTACGCATCACGCAACTTAAGCATCAAAACACGTTCGAGGTTGTTGTAGATGGAACAAGCAAAATAGCTACACAATTAGTTTGTCTAATCTCACTGTGACACAGTACATCAAAGTGTTATATTGAGTTTTACTAAATATAGTCATGTATTCTTATTTTTTATATATTTTTAAAATTTAAGTACATAAATGTCTGCTGTATACAAATCAAGTTTAAATTGCGCATATATGTTTCTTTAGTTGGAATATTCAAAAAGTATTTCTATTTAAATTAATCCAGGTATTCAAGTCAGCGGAACTCAAATACTTTCTTCTTTATATTCGAATCTTGAGTAATGGAATACAATTTAAAATACAGCATTCAGGATTTGTATTCGAATACTGCATTTCAGTATTCGACCCAAGTATGTGTAGTGGTTTATAATAGCTTCTCCAAAAATGCAAGAATGTTTGGTGAAATAGTCGACAAATGGAATGAGCACATCCGCCTTTTTTGGTAGACGAATCTATTAAGTTTGCTCGCTCTCTCACCATTTTTTGGGAATGTATACAGGTAGATACACATTCACATTACACAAAAGCATATTGCAAATTGACTGGTAATTCTTTTGTTACTTTGAGAACGTTGAAAAAGAAATTTATGCGACTAAGGTTAGGAATGAGGGACTTTCTGTGAAATACTTCCTTATATGAATCTACATCATTTTTACTGTAGATGCTCTTACTTCACTCAAATTAAGGTAATTTGCTGCAAACACTATTGGAGGTCGTACTACAATACATAAGGAATAGATGTGTCTTGCAAAAGAAAATGCCCCAGTGGAGACCAAACATTCGGCGTAAAACTAAAACTTTGCTGAAAACAGATGTCATGTTAAATGGGTGTTGCCAACAGGCATCACTAAAACTCAACGTTCATGTTCAAAATCGGGCGAAATTTGGAATAAGCTACCTTAGGCTCGAGCACCGCGGTATGGTTAGGAGGCATGCTATGAGCTCCGATTGTTAATATATATATATATATATATATATATACAGGGTGGCGCATCGAAAACGAAACAGACCCATTTACTGGCAGCTCAGTTTTTTTTTGGAAAAACGCTCAGACCCGTCGATTTTGTTTTCGAGGGGGACACAAGTTTGG